ACATAGGAATATATAGGGAAAATCTTTAAAAATCTTCTTCTCAAGAACAACAAAGCCACAATTAGTCATATTGATATGGAATCATCTTCAAGTAGTGTAGATTCAAATTTGTTCAAATCATGACCCCTGGGGGTAGGGTGGGGCCACAATGGGGGATCAATGTTTTACATAGGAATATATAGGGAAAATCTTTAAAAATCTTCTTCTCAAGAACAACAAAGCCACAATTAGTCATATTGATATGGAATCATCTTCAAGTAGTGTAGATTCAAATTTGTTCAAATCATGACCCCTGGGGGTAGGGTGGGGCCACAATGGGGGATCAATGTTTTACATAGGAATATATAGGGAAAATCTTTAAAAATCTTCTTCTCAAGAACAACAAAGCCACAATTAGTCATATTGATATGGAATCATCTTCAAGTAGTGTAGATTCAAATTTGTTCAAATCATGACCCCTGGGGGTAGGGTGGGGCTACAATGGGGGATCAAATTTATACATAGGAATATATAGGAAAATTCTTTAAAAATCTTCTCAAGAACAACTAAGCCACAATTAGTCATATTGATATGGAATCATCCCCAAATATTGTAGATTCAAGCTTGTTCAAGGCATCCTCCAGTAGTAGGGTGGGGCCATAATGGGGGATCAAAGTTTTACAAAAGAACTTATACAGGAAATATCCTTAAAAATCTTCTTCAATCTCAAGAACAACAAAGCCATGATCAGTCATATTGATATGGAAGCATCCTCAGGTAGTGTACATTCAAGTTCGTTCAAATCATGACCCCCCCCCCCCCCCCCCCCCCCCCCCCCCAGGGTAGAGTGTTAGACATATTTAAAATTCTGTTTTAAAGAACAGCAAAATCATGATTAGTTATATGAAGATAGAAGCATCCTCAGAAGGTTTATATTCAATTTCATTCAAAACATGGCACCTTGGGGTAGGGTATGCCTAGAACAGGCGATCAAAGCTTTATATATGAATATATAGGAGAAATATAGGAGAAGAAATCTGCTGACAAAGAACAGCAGGGCCATATTGACTCAGGTGAGCGTTGTGGCCCATGGGCCTCTTGTATATATTAACTGAAGGAGTCTTTCAGATTATATAGATATTTCAAACATTGATGAACATTATAATAGTTTAAAATGTTTTATTTATTACAAATGAATTGGATTGAACAGCAGGCATAAATGCTCATAAATTGTTCTATGAAAGTTTTCTGAATGGATGAAACTTGAGAGACCATTCATGTTTAAAATATATGATTGATTCTGGTTGTTTTAGAGATGTTACTCAAGAATTTGTTGGCAGTACATGTTTAATGATTTATTGAAATAATTTGTTTGTTCATGTTCATAACTCTTATTAACCGTCGTTTGTTACTTCCTTAATTTTTGGCATTGCATGCAGTATTAATTTGAAGACTTATGTTGCACTTTGTATCCTTTGTTTGACTATAAAAGATATAATGTCTTTTTGAAGAATTTTTTTTTGAAAAGAAAAAATATGTTTAAGTATAATAAATGTGTCTCCTGAGTTAAGACCTGCAACTCATTAAAAAAGTGTTTATCCCATGGGCACTTCAAGCTAAAAAATGTTTTTGTCCCATGGTTTTCTTCGCTGAAAAAATTCATTGTCCCATGCCTGTTTGTACTGATCCCATCATTGTAATTAATTTTGCCTGGTCCCGTAATGTAGCAAAACATTACTTGTGAATTATTTTTGAAACCTGAAACTTTTTATTTATTGAAAACAATATCAAAAAAGTTAAAATCATAAGTTCATGTGATATACAAATGATATCTAATAGTTTTAAGTCTTTATTTTTTAAGCACTTGCTCTTTGATATCATGCTTTAATTCATTAAAAAAAAAAAATTATATTATTTGTATTCACTCGCCTCATAATTTTTAACCCCAAAATGAAAAATAATATTTGTAAAAGAATTTCGCCCTCTCGCCTCACTTTTTATTTTTGAAAATCCGAAGAACTATTTTACAAATTGATGTGGCCTTACTAGGTTTTCTGGAGGTAAAATTCGGTTATTGAAATTGTGAAAATGGTGGGCAGGCGGCTGCCAAAAGGGTACCCCATTTGTCCGGATAACTCCTCCTACAGTTTTCAAGATGGAAACTTTTTTGCTTTGCAGAGCAATAATACATATATCAGAGATGTGCATATTACTTGAATTTTAATTTTTGATAACTTTTTTTAAATTTTTGAACTTTTTCAGCTTTTTAAGTTAGTCTTCTTTTTTTTTTTTTTTGCAAAATATTGTATATAGGGTACCTTATTTGTCTGGACATCTCCTACAGTTTTCAAGAAAGGAAATTTTTATATCCCCCTCAAATGAAGTTTATGGGGCTATATAGGAATCACCTTGTCCACCTGTCCATCAGTGTGTCCCTGAAAACTTCTCTGGGCAATAAATTTTTTATGGAGAAACACTGAAAGCTTATACTTGGTACAGAGATGGCTTATTACCGGACAGTATGTCTTCATGTAACCCAACATGACCAAATCATTCCAGCAAGTTAAAAGGTCTATGGTATATATATATAAAGGGTGTAAAATTCATAACAGGATTATAATTTTCTTAAGAAATACCAATTCTGTTCATGCAAAGAAAACCTGGTTTGCTGTCACATTGATAACTTTCCATTTGTTTTTAAAGTCATCTAAGGCATTTATGTGACCTATTTGTACCACTGCTCCCAAGGAGTGGGGGTATACTGTTTTACCGTTGTGTGTCTGTCTGTCTCTCTGTCTGTCCATAACAAATTTCTGTTGCAGTTTTCTCAGCAACTAATTGCAGATGCTTGAAATTTTAGCACACTCTTTGTTTTTGCATGTCATATGGTGGGATACATTTTTGTACGAATCTGATGGCAACTTGCTGTTTATCAGTGCATCTATCTGTCTGTACCAAATTTCTGTTGCAGTTTTCTCAGCAACTACTCAAGGCAGATTCTTGAAATTTTAGTGCACTTTCTGTTTAGGCATGCCATATGGTGGGATTCATTTTTGTACAAATCTGATGTCAGCTTCCTGTTTATCCATGTGACTGTCCAAATGAAATTTCTGTTGCAAATGAACTTGTGTATATATGTACATGAGAGCTTACATTTACATCAGAGCAGGAGTATTACTAGTGAGCATTGCCTCACAGACTTCTTGTTCTATCTACGATTAAGTAACAAACAATGAATTGCAGGCAAATCAAGGAACATATTGTCTTGTCTTCTAATGAAACTGGTGAAAGACAGTAAATTATTGAAGGATAAAGAGAATTTGAGGGAGCTGACCCACTGTCTGGGTGTAATAGGTCCTGTTGATCTTATGATACTAGCACTACCTACTTCTGATGTGGAAGAGACAGGAGAGATGAATAATCTTTTGCAGATTGTGGAACTTTTAGACCAGCATCTTACTGACAAGGAGTGAGTGAGGCCATCTATTTTGTGTATACTGTGGAATCATTTTGATTTGTGGGGATCAATGTTCATGGGAATGTAATTTCATGGGTTACTCATTTATACTGTAGATTCAATGAATCAATATGTTTACAAAATAAATGCTCATGGGGATGTAAATTTGTGGCTAAGGATGACCCAGGAAATTCAGGGAACATTGGTCCCCCATGAATAATGATGATTCCACAGTAGCTATTTTGTTTCTTTTTAGGTCACCTGAGTCACTCAGGTGACTTATTGCTGTCTGTTTTCATCTGTTGTCATGTGTGGTGTATTAACATTTGAACACTTTCTACTTCTCTGGAACCAATGAACCAGATTCAACCGAGTTTGGCATAGAACATCTATGAGTGAAGGGGGACAAAAATTGTGAATTTCAGGTCCCTGCCTCCCTGGGGCCTTGGGGGTGGGGTTGAAGCCATCAAAATTAGTGTTGTATTTAAAAATCTTCTTTACTCCTGGACATCAAGCAGTCAAATTGTTGGCATGATTGTAATAAGCAATGAGTCCTCTACCAAAATAGTGAAATTCATGGCTCCAGGATCAGAGGTTCCATTAATCTTATTGTAAAAATGTATAAATTCTTTTAAAGTCTTCTCTTCCCCTATATATAAATAAGATAAACCAGGTGCATGGTAATGATGATCAAGGGTGCATCTTCCAAAATTGTGAAATTTGTGGCACCCGTGTGAGGCCAGAAGAGGGGGGTGTGTTGATAATATTTCTGAAAATGCATTCATTTTTAGGTCACCTGAGTCACTCAGGTGACCTATTGCTATCTGTTTTCTTCTGTCGTCGTTCATTGTCAATCGGTCGTAAACTTTTGAACATTTTTAGCTCCTTCTCTGGAACCACTGAACCAATTTCAACCAATTTTGGTATATAGCGTCTATGGGTGAAGGGGAGTAAAAATTGCGAAATTTATGGCCCCTGCCCCCCTGGGGCCTAAGGGGTGGGGCTAAAACCATCAAAATTAATGCAATCTTTAAAAATCTTCTTCTTTACTCCTGGACATCAAGCAGTCAAACTAATGGCATGATTGTAATAAGCATGGAGCCCTCTACCAAAATTATGAAATTCATGGCCCCAGGGTCAGGGGTTCTGGCGCTAGGGTGGGGCTCTAATGATTATATAGTGAAAATGCATTAATTCTTTAAAAATCTTCTCCTCTGCTGCTAGGTATTCAGCCGATGAACTAAAGACATGGTTATGATGAGCAAGAGTGCCTCCTCCAGAATAGTGAATCTCATGGCCCCTGGGTCAGGGGTTCTGATATTAGGGCGGGGCTCTAATGATTATATAGTGAAAATGCATCAATTCTTTGAAAATCTCTGCTCTTGGGTATTAAGCTGATGAACTAAGTACATAGTTATGATGAGCAAGAGTGCCTCTTCCAAAATTATGAATTTCATGGCCCCTGGGTCAGGGGTTCTGGTGTTAGGGCGGGGCTCTTATGATTATATAGTGAAAATGCATTAATTCTTTGAAAATCTTCTCTTCTCCTGGGTATTAAACTGACAAATTAAGTACATTGTTATGATGAGCAAGAATGCCTCTTCCAAAATTGTAAATTTCATGGCCCCTGGGTCAGGGGTTCCTTGGGGGGGGGGGGTGCTTATTTATTATATACTGAAAATAAATTAATGCTTTGAAAATCTTCTCTGCTCCGGGGTATTAAGCTGATGAACTAAGTACATAGTTATGATGAGTAAGAATGCCTCTTTCAAAATTGTGGATTTTATGGCCCCTGGGTCAGGGGTTCCATTTGGGGGAGGGGGGGGGGGCTTATTTATTATATACTGAAAATAAATTAATGCTTTAAAAATCTTCTCTGCTCCTGGGTATTAAGCTGATGAACTAAGTACATAGTTATGATGAGTAAGAATGCCTCTTTCAAAATTGTGAATTTCATGGCCCCTGTGTCAGTGGTTCCATGTGGGGGAGCGGGGCTTATTCATTATATACTAAAAATAAATTAATGCTTTAGAAAATCTTCTCCTCTGCCCTTTGGTATTAATTAAACAAACTAAATACATAGTTATGATGAGAAAGGATGCCTCTTCCAAAATTTTGAATTTCATGGTCCCTGGGTCAGGGGTTCTTAAGCTTGGGTGGGGTTCTATTGATTAATTAGCAAAATGCATTAATGCTTTGAAAAACTTCTTCTATGCCCCTGAGTACTAAGCAAACAAACAAAATGCAATAATATCAATGTAAATACATGTATTAAATATAATTATAAGTAAATGTGCCTTTTCTTTGCTTCTAGGAGGCAGCGTACACAATTGTGATGTGAAGCAAATGAGAGTTACTCCCCTTTGCTAAATACTGTTAATCAAGAAATCCTTGTATACTATTTTATTAACAGGTTATTTGATTGAATGAGAATACAAGAAAGAATGTTATATATACATAGAAACAAAATAAAAATGAATGTTTGGTTTAAATGAGCAAAGTATGCTCAAAGTCAGATTCTTCACTTGCCTGGAAAGCAATATAAAAGATTGACTTAAAGATTATTTATATATTTAGCAAATGTTGTAATTGTACACAGTATGTTTACACTGTGGTAGTCTAAGTTAGTGGCACTGGTAGAAGAGTCATGGTTGACAAGAGAGTGGATGTTGTTTTATACTTTATCAAAGTGAACAAAGAATCACAGAGAGCCAGGGTGACTTATTGTAATTAGTGACAAGTGGAAAATAGCCATGTTGTATACCCAAGTCTGTGTGTACTGAATTGTAGCACTAGGCAAGTGACAAAAACTATCTGTATATATTGAATACCTCACACAATAGGCATGTGTCCTTTGTATGTGTATATTATGCATTCATTATCATCCCTGTAAGACTTGGGAAAACCAAGTATGATCCCAAGGAGATCACTCGGGTCTAGCATGTTACAATAAGCAAGAGTATTTTTACCAGATTTTTAGCTCACCTTGATGAAGTCGAGATGAGCTTATGCTATACCCCCGGCGTCCCGGTTCCCAAGTAACTATAAGCCTTACCTGAACCAAACTTGCATGAATGATGCATCTAAGAATGGACACTACCACACTTGCTTCAAATGCTGGATCTGACCTAGATTTTCAGATGAGTGACCAGGTTAAAGTTTTTGGAGCAGGTCCATTCCCAAGTAACTTTAAGCCCTACCTGGACAAAACTTGCATAGATGATGCATCTAGGGATGGACACTACCACACTTACTTCGGATGCTGGATCTGACCTAGATTTTCCAGATGAGTGACCAGGTTAAAGTTTTTGGAGCAGGTCCATTCCCAAGGAACTATAAGCCCTACCTGGACTAAACTTGATGGATGATGCATATAGGGATGTTCACTACCACACTTGCTTCAGATGCTGGATCTGAGCCAGATTTTCCAGATGAATGACTAGGTTAAGATTTTGGAACAAGTTCATTCGCAAGTAACTATAAGCCCTACCTGGACCAAACTTTAATGGATGATGCATCTAGGGATGTACACTAACCTGAACCAACGTGCTTCAGATGCTAGATCCGACCTAGATTTTCCACATGAGTTATGTTATATTATGGCCTGTTATGATTATACTTGCATAGATGGTGCATCTAAGGATGGAAACTTTCAGACTTGCTTTGGATGTTGGAACTGACCAAAATTTCCTGATTAGTAAACAGTTTAAAAGTTTTTTGAGCAGGTGTTTTTTTCCAAGTAACTATAAGTCCTACTTAAACCAAACTTGCATGGATATTGATCTTGGGATGTACACTAGCTAGAAAAAAATATGATGTGAGATTTGCCTTACTTATAGATAGCATTCGTCAAGGTGAGCTTTGATATCTTTGGTTACCTGTGTTTGAAATTCTTGGGCAACATTGCTTCGTCTATCAGTTAATTCTGTTTTATACTTCCATGGATCCTTTATAGTGTTGTATTGTACTCAGGTGACCATTAAGGCCCTTGGGCCTCTTGTTTGAAAAATCTTATTCTCTGCTCCTGTGTATTAAGCAAACAAATGAAGTATATAGTTATGATGAGCAAGAGTGGCTCTTCCAGAATTGTGAATTACATGGCCCCTGGCTCAGGGGTTCTCTTGTTAGGGTGGGGCTCTATTGATTATATAGTATAGTGAAAATGCATTAAAGGTGCTTGGACACAGATTTGAAGTTAATATTTTCTCAAATTTTCTCTAAAATTTCATGACTTATATGTTGCTATAGCATTTCATACTAAAATATAATAAAAAATCTTATTTCATCTCGAAGTTATTGAAACTTCAAATTTCTGGACGCGTTTGATTGACACATCCTTGCACTTTCACAAATTTTAATTTTATTCTTAATACTTAAGAAAAGTGGCAATTTTGTTGTGTATTAATGAAAAATATCAAAACTATAACACAGAAAATTCAGAGTAGTAATGTTCGAAAGCAAAACCCACTCACAGTATCGTCAGTCCGTGCTCAGTGGTGTGTGCAGACTTTAACAATTGAACACACCCGGTGAATCGTAAACATTAACAATAACAAAGCTCGTGCCCTGTTTACAGAAACAGTTTACGTTTCTCGGGTGTATAAAATTTGTTAAACTCTGTACACAACACTGAGCACGGGCTGACGATATCAGTGAGAGGGTTTGCTTTCGCACATTTCTACTCTGAATTTTCTGGATTATAGATGTAATGTTTTTCATTAATACACAACAAAATCGCTTCTTTTCTTAAATATTAAGGATAAATATAAAATTTGTGAAAGTGCAAGGATGTGTTAATCAAACGCGTCCAGGAATTCGTAGTTCCAATAATTTCCAGATAAAATAAGTTTTTCATTATATTTTCGTGTGAAATGCTATTGCAATATATAAGTCGTGATATTATACAGAAAATTTGAGAAAATATTAACTTCAAATCTGTGTCTAAGCACCTTTAATTCTTTAAAAATCTTCTTATCTGCTCCCAGGTATTATGTAAAAAAACAAAAAAAAACAATAAACTTAAGTGCATGGTTATGATGAGCTAGGATGCCTATTTCAAAAATTATGAAATTCATGGCCACAGGGTTGGGGTTTCTGGTTAAAGGGGGGGGGGGGGCTCTTTTGATTATGTAGTGAAAATGCATAATTTCTTTGAAAATATTATTTTCCTAGTTATAGTTGCTCCTAGTTATAAAGCAATGAAATTCAGTGTAAAGTTATGATTAGCAAGGGCACCTTTTCCAGAATTGTGAGTTTCATGGCCCCTGGTTCAGATGTTCTGGTGTAAGGGTTGGGCTGTATTGATAATATAGTAAAAATGCATTAATTCTTCAGTACAATTCGTTTAGTATTTAGTATTAGGTTTTATATCATACTTCTTTTTTATCATAGTTTTTTTTTTTTGAAATACAAAACCATTTCTTAATAATTCATTGTAAATTCCTTCTGTTATTATAATAGGTAAAAGTGTGCACTCCGTACACTTTGATAGAAAATTTTTGTTCCTAATGTTTTTTCACACCTTTTCACCCTTGGAACACTGAACAAAACGAAAGATAACACCTGTCTACACCTGTGGTTCATGCACTGTTGCTTATCTATACACATTGGCTTGATTTTCACTTTGATTGATTGTATGTTGTTTTACATCCCATTCGAGTATTTTATTTTTCATTTTTTCACTCATATAGAGATGTAACCATATACTGGTGAAGGGCTTCAAATTTAGACCCTTACTTGGCACTCGGGGCCATTGAGCAGTGAGAGTTCTTTTTCATGCCAATGCCTACCGTGACACCGAGCCTCCGTTTTTAAGGTCTCATTCGAAGAATCCGCAACTTTCACTTCAAAGTGCTGAGCACCTGGCAAAGGAACAGTTGCTACCTATTTTCTGTTGACTTAGGTCAGTTACGACTGGACGCACACAGGCACCTTACCTGTGTTAATAGTGGGCATAGTAGATAGATATGTTTTATTAACAGTTTTGGTGATAGGTTTGGGTTTTTAATCTTAATCAATGATGCACACTTGTTAATTATGACAATTGTTTGCAATTTTTTCGGCTTGAAATTTTAATTATTGAACTGATAAGCTTGTGTATGACAATTTGCATGGCTAATGAAATAAGCCTATTCAATCGTTAAACTTGGTCATTTGGCTTAATATTTGTTCACATTTAAGTGCAAAATTTATGGTAAAAATCACAAATGGCCCGTACTTAAAATATATGTCTCAAAATCCATACCATCTTTCTCCACTTGGCAGACAAGTATGAGACTGGTAAATTCATTAAACAGAGAATTGTCACAAACAGTATAAAATATGCAACGATATTAAAGAAAGGAATAAAAACGAAATACAGGTAAACTTCGGTATCTCGAACACTGATATGTCGAATACCATGGATATCTCGAAGTGAATCAACGGTCCCGGCCGTTTTTATTATATTTATGATTTTAAAAAACCCTGGTATCTCGAACACGGAAATCTCGAATACCTCACTTATCTGGAAGTAGATTTACGGTCCCAATTAAGTGCTATAAACACATGCGTTAAATTCTCGCTCCGCTGAATTCACACCTTAGTACACAATAATCCCATTATGCTAATTTTACGGTCTGTTGATCGTTTCCGTTAGGTCTAGCACAGGCTTTATGGGACCATTGCCGATAATCACACCTTATTAGCCCCAAGCTGTTGTTTTTGGTAGTTAAATTTAATTACGCAGGCCAGGTGATTTGGAGGTGTTAATAAAATGCACACTCAGAGATATGATGACACGATAATGAAACAGCGGCTTGGGACGATTACTGTAATAGGAATTTAAATTTATCGAAAATTCACGCTTGTACACATCATTACATATCAAAGTGAACACTGAACACATCAAAGTGATATTGAACTCAAGAAATTAAACAATTAAAGACATTATTTTGAGTATAAAAGTCAGTACCAAAAATCTGAATCTTCAGCACACATCATGTCCGATAAGGCAATCTAACAAAGGACCCGGTAGCCAACCCGGGGGGATATTTAGATTATCTGACTGTGGTGTAAAAAGAAAACTTAAAGTTCATACAATCGAAACAAAGTTTGCTTTTGTTTATGCATATTGGCAATTTAAATAAATTATTGTAGATTGATAATTCCTGTTTCCGTCTTAATCCTTACTACAGTGATCGGTTTATCATTTACAAAGCATAGCACATATCCGGGTATCAGAAATCCTGAAACCAGCATGATTATCACGATCGAATTTGTAAAATGTAAGTGTTGCAGTATTGAATAAAATAATATATGCATTATAAGTGTATATGCAAATGTATTTTTAAAAAGATATCACTAAGTACGAACTGAAACATTTACCACTTGAATTAAATTATGCACATGGTGGAAAGGTTGGGGGGGGGGGGGGGTAATTTCCTGTTAATAGAACATGTAACATAACAATATCAGTACCAAATTCATCAACTTCGATATCTCGAACACTCGGATATTTCGAAGTTTTTCCTCAGTCCCAAGTTCGAGATATCGAAGTTTACCTGTAGTTACATTTATTTAATATTTTTGTTTATTTTTAATTTACAATCTATCCAGGGAAAAATAGTTCACAGTTATTAGTCAAGCATTTAGTCTACTTCCTTTTCCAAAATGGTGACCATCGAAGAAGGAAAATAAACATGTGCTGAATTAAGATGGCAATAAATATCAAAGAATATATTTTATATGTCAATTTATTTGAAAAATGTCATTATATTAAATTCACAAGTAATTGAATTAATTTATTTTAGGAAAGTCACTTGGTAAACTAATCAAATGAAAACGAAAGTGCAAGTTTGAAATTTGCTACAATGTACATTTATTATCAATACATGTATCTCTATACATCTGTCTTTGGACTCGATATGGAGCAATCAGCTATTCTAATAATCGGCTCTTCAGATAAAATTAGACGACAACTTGACTATTGGATAAAACAGGATCCACTGTATATATGTTTAAATCAATTACATATAAAATTCAACTCGAAATGCTTCAGGAATAAATGGCGTGACATCATGCAGCTTTATGAGTTGTTACCAAGTACTAGACTAATTATTTCATTGATACTGATCATCCTATGTCTCTTGCTTTTGGGCAACAAAGCTTCATCTGTCAATTTATTTTATACTTCTATGGATGCTCTAAATTGTTGTATTATACTCAGGTGACCATTAAGGCTAATGAGCCTCTTGTCAATTTTGAGCAAAAAATAAAAAAAACATCACATATTTAATTTAACATGAATTTAAAAAAAAGTTATGTTAAATTGTATGTGATTTTTTTTTTTTTTTTTTCTTTACCAGATTTATGGCAGAAGTTTTAAGAAGTCCCTGTTGTTGTTTTTAAAACCTCAATAAATGCAGTTTGCTTGTATATGTTTTTCTTTCATGTGTATTTTCACTTATAACTATCTAAAGGAGAAACATGGAAAGTTTATACTTCACATATTAATATTTAATATGACCTGGTTTTCAACCTAAATCATTTGTATGAGGTCAACGTCACATGCAAAAAAATATATGCCCAAGGCCATATTTTGTAACGGAAAAACAATGGAAGCTCTTTGAAAAAGAAAGATTGCTTATCACCTGAAAGGTCATTTGGTTAGGTTCAAGGTCACTTGCAGAAAAAGTGTAAACTTTCGCCTGGTCAATAATTTTGACCTTGGAATGTGTCATGATTTGATCCAAGGTCATATTGGCAACTTCACAATCACTGGCATTATTTTTGTAAGGACCAAAAATTTAAAGCCCATAATGAGTAAAAGATGACTTCATGATGCATGTGAATAGTAGTAGTAGGCTTACTCACAGTATTTTCAGTTTCTTACTGGTTTTATTTTGACCTTGTAATTTTAATTTGTTTAAATTCTCTTTGAAGTATGAAGACAGTTCAAGCAACATCACAGGTCCTGAAAAAAATATTCAGCAGGAAAGCAGGAATTGATCTTGCAGACAAGATGAAAACTTCAAACAAAGTAGAACTAGTCCAAAATCTGCAACCATTTCTTCCAAAGAAAAAGGTGTGCAAGTAATTTTTGAGGAAGTCCAAAAAATTGTAATCAGTGAATATCTAACATTTGTTTACTGCCCAATGCAAACTGCAAGGTATCCGTGAAAGATAATCTGTATTACAATGCAAATACTTAAAGGTGCTTGAACACAGATTGGAAGTTAATATTTTCTCAAATTTTCTGTATAATATCACAACTTATATATTGCAATAGCATTTCACATGAAAATATAATTAAAAACTTATTTTATCTGGAAATTATCGGAACTACGAATTCCGGGATGCGTTTGATTAACACATCTTTGCACTTACCCTGGTACACAAATTTTAACTTTATCCTTAATATTTAAGAAAAGAAGTGATTCTGTTATGTATTAATGAAAAATAGTACATCCATAATCCAGAAAATTCAGAGTAGAAATGTTCGAAAGCAAAACCAACTCACCAGTATTGTCAGTCCGTGCTCTGTGATGTATACAGAGTTTAACAAATTGAACACACCCGTGAAAGGTAAACTGTTTTTGTAAACAGGGCATGAGCTCTGTTATTGTTAATGTTTATGATTCACCGGGTGTGTTCAATTGTTAAACTCTGCACACACCACTGAGCACGGACTTACAATACTGTGAGTGGGTTTTGCTTTCGAACATTTCTACTCTGAATTTTCTGGGTTATAGTTTTAATATTTTTCATTAATAGCCATTCTCTGTAAGCATTTAAACTCTTATATAGGGAGTGTGGCACGCTAGGTCTTAAATTTTTATGAAACTTGGCACACATTCCTAAAATGATGTATGAAACTAAAATTCATAATAAAATGGTTGCTATGGTCAATGGTTACCATGGCAACCAACATACATTTTTCATGGCCTTAAAAATGCTAAATTTTGATGAAAAATGACCATTTTTAACTAATTAAAAGTCTTTAATACAACAAGATATTTACATGACTTTATCTTTTGTCAAAATACATCATTTTTATAGTTCTTTAGATAATTTCTAGTATTTGAGTAACTTAACCTCATAGAAAAAATATCCCCCCTTTTTAAGTATGATTTTTCTAAGGAAAAATTGTAGATTTTAGGCTCTTTTGAAAAGCCTGGTATAAATTTTTGCAGACATATTGGAAAAAATAAATACATTGGTTTGAAAGTCTATATATAGTTGTAATATAAACTGCAAAGAACCACTTGGTATTCATATCTTGTTTTCATGTTACCATGGTTACAAACTAATGCCTTTTTTAAGAATTCCAGACAAGGGCAAAAGGTATCTACTATCAGTTTCCATATAAATACCTGAGTATTTTAAAATGGATTAAAATTAGATTTGTACATGTAGTACACAATAGCAAAAACAAAGAAAAAAAATCGATTTTCATAACAAAAGGTCAAAGGTCAAGGCCAAAATGGCTCGATTTAGATGGAAAAGTAAGGAAACGAAGCACATTTTTTCACTGCCATAACTAATACTTGTGTAAGGAAACTAAGCACATTTTTTCAATGCCATAACTAATACTTGTGTTTTATACAACATAATTATGAATAAACAAAATTACAGTTCTGGTGGACAATACATGTAACTAGCATCACATGAATTGGTAAATACGTACAGAAGGTCAAAGTTCAAGGACACAATGGTATATAAAATTTGCCCTTTTGTCCCCTGCTTTCACTTAAAGGGGGGGATATGTATTTAGGTCTGTGTGACGTCTATCCGTCTGTCAATCTGTCATTCTGCAACACTTTCATTTCTGCACGATGTCTCGTGAAGCCTTTGAGCCTTTGCAATGAAAGTTTATATAACAACTCCCTGTGGCCTAAGGAAGAACCCCATTGATTTTAAGGTCAAAGGTAAAGGTCATGAATTCATAAATTCTGTCTGTTTTAACACTTTATTTCCGCGCAATATCTCAAAAACTTAGAGCTTTTGCAATGAAATTTTACACTGAAACTCCCTATGGCCTAAAGAAGACCACTATTGATTTCGAGTTCAAAAGGTCAAGGTCAAAAATTTATACATTCTGTTTGTGTGTAAAATTTTCATTTCCGTGCGACATCTCAAGAAGCATTTAAGCTTTTGCAATGAAATTTTATATCATGACTCCCTTTGGTCCCGCCTGCAACTCTTAAAGTATCCCGTCCCCCCAACCGCAACATCAGCCGACCCCACCCCTCAAGATCCGTACATGCTCTTTTTTCCTTAAGCAGGGGACACGGCTTCTCTGAATTAGCTTGTTAGTATAGCATTTAACTTGAGTCCTTGAAAATATTGAAAATAATTTGTCCCTGCCTTCTTCCTACGGTTTTCATTTTTTAAAATGAACATGATAAAGTAACCAATGACCAGGACTTACTCTATCCCTTCCAGGAACCATGTAAAAGCACTTACCCCACATAAATTGGTAAGAGTCATTTGTAAGAAAAACACGGATCCCTTGTGAAACATTAAGAAGCGTTATATATAAATATGAAAGAAAGCAGTTCATTCATAAGTGATTAACCCCAACCCGCCCCATTCCCGAGTAAAGATTTTTGTGTTTAATTTTATGATTTTTTTTTCTTTTGGTAGAAAGGGGTGGGGTGGGGGTGGGGGGCTTGTCAGAAATTTATTTATGTTTTCATTATCAATAAAATACAGCTACACAGATTTACTATTAATTTAACTGCTACAAGGTTCAATCTACATTTTTCTTAGTTTAGAGAAATGATAAACTTGATAAAAATGATAACTTTAAATATGATTCAGACAATTTGTATTTCTATGCAAACCCCCCCCCCCCCCCCCCCAAAAAAAAAAAATCAAAAGTATAATTTTCACTGGTCGAAAGGAATCAATTACAAAACAAAACATTTTCATTACTGACCTTAACAATTTTTTTTTATTCTTATTTTTTTTTTTTTTTTTGGATAAAAACCGTTCCCTTAAAGAAAATACTTGGATCAGGAACATTATCAATTTCTTTGTAAATGTTTTCAAAGTCATTAAATAAAAAGTTCAAATCTGAAATATACACAGATAACTTTTCTCTCTTTTTTCTGAATCAGATACAGATAAAGGCAAACAGTAGTATTAAAAAGATTGAGTTTTCTGTTACATCCCTCAGCAAAACAGGGTTTTTAGGTGTGGATTGTTTTCTACATGTAGCCTTTAAATAGAGATAAAATATACTTTTACATTCTTTAATTTTAGGATGAGGGTGTAAAGAGTATCAGTTTATATTTTAAATGTAGCAAATCCTATCAAGTGAAAACACTCATCATATAAAAATTGTAAATTATGAATGACATAAATTCTGTTCAAAACTGCATAATATGACTGCGTTGACTATTGGTTAAGGAACGACCATTTGATTCAGAAGGGGGGGGGGGGCAAATTTTTTCCGAGTCAGATTATTTATTTTCATGGAGTTGAAGGACAGATTATTTATTTCCAATATGATCCAGGACAGATTATGTATTTTTCTTCACTGAAAAAGTCTGAAAATAAAATAAACAATCCATCCCGCCCCAAGGGAAAATGCCCAAACTTTATTTGGGGGGGGGGGGGGGGGGGCATTTGTTTCCGGAATAATTTTTTTAACCCATAGTATAATAATAATACTTATTATAATATGGGTTAAAAAATTATTACCGAAACAAGTGCCTTTGGGTTGGAGGTTGTAGCACTTATCAAAGATGGATTATTTATTTTCCTTCCAGTTGAAGACAGATTATTTATTTTCAGCATTTTCAAGAACGGACTTTAGTTTCTAAAATCTGTAAACTCCCCCCCCCCCCCCCCCCCCCCCCCCCCCCCCCCCCGCATCAAATGGTCATCCCTTTAATGACAGACATCAACTTACATACATCATTCAGTATAAACTTCAACTTCCAGTTCTGTACAAACATATAAATGTAGCTTGACTTTGTTATTTAGGTAAAATCAATAGCCTAGTTCTCTCACATTATAATTCAGTTTTTTTTCCACATTTGTTTTTAAAAAGGCACTGACTTTCCAAGGCTGTATTCATTATAATATATCACTCTGACTGAGACATTGTACCTCTTCTTACAACCAATTCAATATAATTCTGATATCTCAAGTTTATCTTTTATCTCCATTTTAAAACTCCTAAGACCAGGGTTCGACACTAACTTTTTTACCTTGGTGGACCGCAGGTCCACTTGTCAAAAATTATTGGTGGACCTTCTCAAATTCTGGTGGACCTTCATAAATGTTTGAATTAATGAATGAATTCATTACACAAGGCTTGAAACTAACTTGTGTACCAAGTCCAGTCATACTAATAAAGTTTAAGTTTAACGAGTCAACTGAAACAAATCAATTAGTCAGGAGTTTTTCAACAATATTCTTTAATATATTTTCAGTATTTTAAAAAATAACACAATCTATATCTTCAAACAATTTATTATTTTAATATCATTTATTTACAATGGTAAAAACCAACATTTATTTTGCTTCCAACGGTAGATAAAGTTTTAAAATCCCTGTAATTAAGTTGTATATATGAACAAGTGAATTTTTCATATATCTATGGCTAGAACAATTTTTACTACGATGCAAAACGACAAAAGTATATGTATTTATTTATTATTTTTTAAATTATTATTTATTCAAATGTGATTTAATGAATAGCAGAAAAAAAGAAACTGCAGGTAACATGTTCACAAAATATAAATCATGCCTGTTTGAAGATCTAAAAAAATAAACAATGCATAAATGCAGCTGTCAATCAATTCTAATTATCTCCAAACCTGGCCATCAGTGTGCGTTCAGGCGTAAAGTGATTTCCTGTTACTCAGTGTACATTTCCACACCTTTCTGTGCATTAAATAAACAAAGGACAGACTGACTAATTTGGCATGAATTTTACATGCTTCTTTTTCAAGGTCCGTGTTGAATGTTCTTGCGTCTCAATGTTATTGTTATTGTAGTCATCAATATTACTTGTAAAATATATATTCAGCTAAATATTTACTTTAAACAAACTTTACCATATTTATTTAT